CTCTCTCTCTCTCTCTCTCTCTCTCTCTCTCTCTCTCTCTCTCTCTCCTCTCAGAGTGATCTTCTCAATGACAGGATCTTACCAGATGATGTCCAGCCCATCAAAATATCCAGAGGGCCATACCACCAGCTTCCTACTCGAATTTGAAGAGGTCTTACACAAGAGGGTACAGTTAAATCGATGGCCTTAATTAAAATGTCACCTTACCTAAGAGTGAATAAATATCACAGTAACAAGAGCACGGCCTCCCTGCTTGGTGTTCTCCTGACGCCCATGCCCAAGAGACAAACAGTTTACGTGGTATTTTAATGATTACAGTACTACTTTCAATGTCTTTGGCCAATCATGTCAGCTCAGCTTCCCTAGTTCTCAACTGTTGAGGTTGTCATACCTTCTTTAGTTAGAGAAAGAGAAACGGCACACCAGCCTTTTTGACATGTCATTGATGTGGCTTCCCATCAGTGATTTCCCATCTATGAAGATGGGGAAGGGGAAGCTCAGATCCCGCCCTGGGTGGCGTCCACTTGATAACATTGCTGCTTTATGCCATTAAGATGCTCTGTCCCCAACGAAACAGCTCACCCCATCGTGGTGGCTCAGCTCTGGCCTCTTCTGGGAACTGGAGCACCTTTCACTAACTTCGCTCTTCCTAGTTGTCCATGTGTTTATATTTGCAGAGCCCGATTTGACTTTGAGATGTTGCTGCTGCTAAAGACTAGATACGAAAATCCTGTAATAACTTAGGTCAACCACTGTACACACCCAGCCTCAGCCCACCTTACATACCCACTCCTAGGAAACAATAAATGCTTCAGTCAGTTGGTTTTTGCCTTATTCTGAGTAAAGAAATGACTTTCTGTTTTTATGGTCCTGAGGTAATTTACCCTCCACATGACTCTGCTGTATTCAGCAGGGTCTTATCATCCTTGGGTCATGGAAAGAAGTGTATTCAGGTCTCCTGCCCAAGCCTTTAGTATGAGTTCATGGACATCAACGCCAACATGACTGGGACAGATATCCTCATCTTGGCCTTACACAAACAAGTCTGATCAGCAGTTACTGGTCCTGCAGGGGACCTGAGACATCACTGCTGCAATGAGCATGTGTTCTAATAAACTGTATGCTTTGGATGCTGGGACAGACACCACAAAGTCTTCACAGGACTGGGCCTATAGGCAAATCCCTGCTGTTTTGTAGACTTGTGGATGTCCAGGGTTCTGAAGGCCACTGTGTTTCTGTAGCTGCTTGGAGACATCACCAGGGAGGACCCTGAAGCTTCACAGGCACTGACATAGCTTCTTTTCCCACTAGCAGTTGTGTATTACTGACTCTCTTGCCTATTTCAATTACAAAGTGATGATGGCTTAAGGAGGCTCTTACAATGATATTCCTGTTAAAACAAAATTAAAGTCTGTCTTTTTTTTTTTACAATAAAACATTATACATTTTGAATTCTCTTACCCTCTTGTTTTTTTTCTGCGTTTGTGTCATGGTCACCCTAAAGTAGATTTGACAGGATTTGAAGGAAGATAACAAATTATTCCTTTTTAACAAAGCTATTTTGCACCCTCAATTATATTATTCCAATTATGCTTATTTTGTGTACTTACATATCAGTAAGGAGTGATTTGATTCATAAATTTCCAACTTTCTCATAATATTTTCAATAGGAAGACATTAATGATCTGAATATTATGGGCAACTGCCTTCTTCAAAACAAATCCCAAAACTATTATGTGAAGACATTTTGTATAGCTTTCTAAATAGCCATATATATATATATCAGTGTACAGATTCATTTTTGTTAATAAATTATTTTAAATGACAACTCCTCTGAACTCTCCTTCAATTAAAATTTAAATTTTTTCTTATACCTTTTTTATCTCTTCAAATTAAGGCTCCTTATCTCAGAATTCCAGTAACTATCCTCAAACATCTAAAAGATACGCTATTACACACACTGAACACTATATAGACAGAGTCAGGAACATTTGCTTTGAAAATAGATCGGAAACTGTATTCTTTGTTTATGCTTGGGATTGAAACCACAGTTTCAAGCACACCAAACAAATACCCTACTACTCACGGACATGGGGCTGGGCTCCAAAAGCAAATGTTGATTGTGGTTTCTGGTTAGATAGGAAAAACAAGGAGACAATGTCAGTGGTTGTGATGTATTCCTAGCGGGGCTCCTCTCTGATATTAAAGTCTGTCTATGCGCCAGTGAGATGGCACAGCTGCTTGCCACCAAGCCTGACTGCCGAAATTTGATGTTTTAGAACCAGAGGGTAGAAGGAGAACTCAATCCTGCAAGCTGTCCTCTGACGTCTGTACTAGTGCTGGGATATGCTCATGCCCCCAACACACACAAAGTAAGCATGAATTTTTTTTATTTAGGAGATTAAACAAGTGGGGGCTGGTGTATGCGTATATGTGAATGCATATAATAATATGCACTCCTTGACGATGTAGATTAAACAAATGATGACAATAATATTGAAGCCCAGTACAGGTTGGCAGCAGATAAGAAGGGTACATGTGACATGTGAGGAAGGAGGAGCATAGCAGTGTCGTGAAGAGTCGTGGGCCACTGCTCACACCCAGCCATTGGTTACAGATCCGCAGGAGGTTTTTCTGCAAGTTCTTTAAAAGTAAGAAGAAAAATTCAAATGACCAAGAGAAAAATGAGTGGACAAGAGCTTGAATAGGCTCTTTTATCTAAAAAGGAACTCATATGACCATCAAATGCATAAAAAGATACTCAATTTAACTAATAACCAGAGAGATGCAAGTGAAAAGCATTAATAAGAAATCAGTGAATACTTATGCATCTTAGCTAACAATTGCCAAGTTCATAAATTGATGAAGTCAAAGCCCTTCACCCCATGGGAACTGCACCATAGCAATCGGTCATTGTCATGGAAAGTTGGTGATTAGTGTGTTTTATGAGCCAGCCAGCCCATATTTCATTACCAGTGTTCTTTGAGCCATTTTGCTTATTATACATATATAGAAATCACGGAATTGCGGTCTCTGTCGTGTTCTCTCATTGCCATCCCGGTTTTTCACTCTTAGTTTTAAAAGTTGGAAATGGCACAAGCTCTAGATCACTGTAAATACTGGCATTTTAAGTAAAACCATTACATCATTCTGCTAGGTGTTTCCAATGGGATGTCAGTGGTGTAAAAATATGACACCAGAATCTATTCAGAAAACGCTAAAGTGGGCCTTTCCGCAGAAGGATTATTTCCAGTGTTACTTTTTCTCTGTTCCTGTGCCTTCCCCGCCGTTACTTTTTTATACTGAATTTTACCTCAGCATAATAGTTTTAAATTTGAAGGTTTTTCTTAGTGTTTTTCTCGGGGGGGGGGGGAGAAACACTAAAATTATAATTTGCATTTAAAATGGGTTCAGTTGCATTTACAAAGACAAGTTTTGGTTGAGTTCACTTATGAATAATAAATAGTACACAGTCATCAAAGACTTTAAATGTGCTTTGCAGTTTATAGAGATTATTCATGCAGAAGTGCTGGGTTACTTCTTGTTGAGACACCCATTTCATTAGCTGTAAACAAACACTGGTTTCTGCTATGGGTTCAAGACTAGGCTTCACTGTATATGTTGTGTTTCCATAGCTGAACACTTCGAGGGACTCTCTTCCCATCACCAAGATGGCCATGGGAGAGACTTCCTAAATACTATTCAGTCTTTGGAGTACTTTCAGGTGCTTGGTACTTCCAATGGTCAGCATGCACACGATTCAAACAGATTTCAATGTTGCTTAAAGCAAAGGACAGAACCACTCAGCTTACAGCCTTTCTGTACGGAGTTATGAGAGCTGCCGTAGCAACAGACCAATAGTGAGGGGCATCGTAGTGATGTTTCATTTGTATCTTAATAAATACAACTTTCCTGAAGATCAGAGTAAAACAGCCCCACTGGGCAGCCTTCCGGACCAGGCAGTGGCGATCTACACCTTTAATCCCAGTAGCCATGCTAGTTCACCATAAACCTGGGAGGTAGTAGTGCATGCCTTTATTCCCAGTTCTATAGGGGAATCTAAGACAGGAGGAGACAGCTCTCACTCACAGTCTCATTCTGAGGTTCCTGGAGGCAGAATCTCCATTTCAGACTAAGGTAGAGGTAAGAGCCAGTATCTGGCTGTTTTGTTTTTCTGACTTTCAGGTTGAACCCCAATACCTCTCTCTGGGTTTTTATTAATCGTGCTTTAGGGCATGAGGTGCAAAAGCTTGTTTCCTCTCAGAGTTGAAGGCCATGAATACAAAATCTAAGTGCTGGCAAAGTGTTGTCTTCCCAGGGCTCGTCCGTGATGTGCAGATGACCCTCTTGTCCCTGTTCTTCCCAGGGTGCCTTCCTTGATGTGGAGATGGCTCTCTTGATGCTATGTCCTCCCACCATCATCTTCTATCTATGAATCTGCGTCCTAATCTCTCCCGTAGACAAAACACCAGTCTTAGTGGTACAGCCCCCAAGCAGGGACATTATTTTAGTGAATTCGCCTCTTTAAAAGCCCCATCTCTAGGCTGCAGTCTGTCCTCTATTAATGCCCTCTTGAAATGTACACAAAAACCATTCTTCCTACTTTCTCCCAAAGGCTGCATTCATTTTCTGTTTGCCAACCCTTCATCTGTTGCCACACCAGTGGACACCGGCCCACTGCAGTTACGTATATATAGCGTAATGCCTGCTGCCATTATAGTATTATAGCATTTTAGTGCCATTATAAGTGCTGGCTGTTCTTGCAGGGGACCTGCATTTGATTCCCAGCACCTATATGACAGCTCACAACTTTGTATAACTCCAGTTAGGCTTTTGGTCAGATTACCTGTCACCAAAACAACAAAATTACAACAAATGCCAGTGAAAGTCCAGGGTAAGAAGCTGCTGGCGAGAATGTAAATGTGCATCCCACGGAGATCAATATGAAAGTTTCTAAAAAAAAAAATAGTAAAAATATAACTATCATATGATCCGGTTTACCAATCCTAGCTATATGCCTAAGAGACTCTAAATCAATAGAGCACAGAGATGCTCCACCTTCCCTGTCCACTGCTGTGCCATTCACGGCACCCTAGAAACAGAGCCAGCCTAGGTGTTTATCAACAGATGGATGTGCAATGGACTTTACTGAAACCGTAAAGAAGAAAAATGAAATCATGACTCCTGTAGGTAAACAGACGCTAATGGAAATCGTTATGTTAAACAAAATAAGCCAAACTTGGGCCAGGGAGATGGTCCTGTGTGTAAAGGTACTTGCTGCCAAGCCTAACAACCTGAGCTCCATCAAGTTCAATCCTCAGGACACTGAACATGGAGCACTGGCAGCAGAGAACTGACTTCCTTAGTTGTCCGCTTACCCCCCACAGTTACTATGACACTGCACACACATACATATGAGAGAGAGAGAGAGAAGGAGGGAAGGAGAGAGGGAGGTAGGGAGGGAGGGAGAAAAGAGAGAGAGAGAAAGGGAGGGAAGGAGGAAAGGAGGAAGGAAGGAAGGAAGGAGAGAGAGAGAGAGAGAGAGAGAGAGAGAGAAAGAAAGAAAGAAAGAAAGAAAGAAAGAAAGAAAGAAAGAAAGAAAGAAAGGAAGGAAGGAAAGAAGGAAGGAAAGAGAGAGAGAGAGAAAGGAAGGAAGGAAGGAAGGAAGGAAGGAAGGAAGGAAGGAAGGAAGGAAGGAAGGAAAGGACTAATGCTCTAAAAAAACTGAGACAAATACTGCATTTTATCTCTCAGATGTAGAACATAGATTTGAAATTATGTGCAGGAAGAACTTTTAGGGAAGGGGTAGAATGTAAACCATGAGGCATCACTGTCTAGGATATAGAAGGAAGTCAGCCAGAGGAGGTAGTGGTTACATGAAATATGTGGGAAGGACAATGGATTAGAACTATGATGATACATGCATGCTGTCTGAGGGTGTCTATTGCTGTGAAGAGATACATGAACATCTCTTATAAAGGCAAACACTTGACAGGTTGGCTTACAGTTTCAGAGGTGTAGTCTCCCTTGTCACCAGGGTGGGACATGGCAACATGCAAGCAGACATGGTGCTGGAAAAGAAGCTGAGAATTCTACATCTTGATTCACAGTAAACGGGAAGTGAACTGGGTGTCACACTGAGCCTGATCAAAGGAGTCCTCAGAGCCCACTCCCACAGTGACACACTTCCTCCAACAAGCCCACACCTCCCAATCCTTTCAAATAGTGCCACTTCCTGGCAACCACATATTCAAATCTATGAGTCTGTGGGGACTATTCTCAAATAAGTGAAGTAATGGGCTTGTTAGCAAGAGGAGTGCAAGCAGCCAAAGAGCCAAAGCATCAAAGCTTTCTTCTTCCTTGTCCTTATACAGACTTTCAGCAGAAGCTTCCTTCTTCCCTGTCCTTATACAGACTTCCAGCAGAAGGCCTGGTCCAGACTAGAAATGGGTTTCCCTAGCTGAAAAGATATGAATTAAAGGTGTATCCTCCTACCTCATACATCTGGATTAGAAGTAGATCTTCCTACATCAAATTAATCAAAAGTCCCTCACAGGTGTGCCCTCCATTTAGGGGTTTTAATTAACTTTAAATGTAGTCAAGTTGACAACCAAGAATAGCCACCACCCTATCCTTCTTGTTTATTCCAACTTTCTCTAAACTCAGTGTTTCAGATCTATAGAGCAGTTTGGGAGCTTACATGCTTGGCCCATATCGTTTATACAGAAAGCCTCTGTCCCCATATCGTACTTTAAAAATAACTACACTATGGACAACTGAAGGAGGCCCTGTCCATGAGTGAGCAAGGCATCCCTGAAAGTGAAAGAAATGAATGTAGAGGAGACCAGCCTTGGAAAAGACTCTAACAGTGGCACCCAGGGAGGGTGGCACATCCTTCGACAGAGGAGGGCGGTTCGAATCCTGAAAGTGGCAGTCACAAGCCACGGGTGACGAAATGAGCACCTGTGCTTGAAAGCAGTGCTACATTAATAACGTAAAAATGAAGGTCAGTGTAAAAGCAAAACTCTTCTCCGTCGCGAGAAGGCAGAATTCCCACACTTTGCACAATGCCTTGTGAAATGACACCCGGACATGACATGACTGAGCAAATGGGAATCACCGGGCTTCTGCGTATCTCCCTACAGCTTGGCTAAAATCCCCTCCTCCCACAGGGCAGTCTGAGAAGAATAGTGCTACCGCAGAGCACCAGAAGAAATAAAACACCTTCATCGCCTCAGTTAACACAGGGCCGTGAAACTAGAAAGACAGAGAAGGCAGGGTTAATAAAGAAAAGGGACCAAGCCTGGATCACTGATGTAGAAAACGGACACGGTGCCTGCCTCTCACCAGTGGCAAAAGAGGCTGAAGCTATGAACACCATCTGGTTCACGGTCACCAGTCTGAACCAGTCGTTCCCGAACATCTGGATCTCCAGAACATGTGCCTCATGATGTTCAATGTTATCCCATCGGGAGATGTCAGGGCCATCTGTTCTGATAGCTGGAAACATAGCACCAGTCACTCACTTTTTAAAAGGCAGACGGTAAGGGCTGGCAATGGATCTCTGTGTCCAGCATGTTCAACATGGGTTTGACCCCCAGCACAGGTCTGCGGAAAGAAAACCAATGGAAAAACAGGATTAGAATCAGACACAGCCGTGTAACTTGACCAGAGCATTAAACACAATGCTAACCAAAGAAACAAGCAAAAAGCTCCAACAATAAATGGATGTTACCCTGTACATAGAATTTCACCATTTGGATAGAAATGAAAAGTGTGCAAAAAAGAGGGCTCAGTGGGTAAAGACACTTATTGAACAAGCCCGAGCACCTGAGGTCCATCCCTGGAATCTCTAAAACGTTGGAAGGAGAGAACTGACCCCACAGAGTTGTCCTCTGACCTCCACAGGTGTTGCTGCATGTGTGTTGTGTGCACACAAACACACACAGATGGTGATGATGATGATGATGAAGTAGTAAATAAAAAAAGAAGTGAAAGCTAACTCTTGAAAGGGTATTGCCTTAGTTATTTTTCTGTTAGAGCAATAAGACATCGTGACCAAAATCAAGTTATGGAAGAAAGAGTTTTAGCAAATGGCTGCAGAGAGGGTCCGCAATGGCAAGGAAGGCGTGGCTGCCGCTGATCGAATCAGGAAGTCGGAGGGTCACATTTCGTTACACAGGAAGTGAACAGAGCAAACTGGAAGTGGAGCAAGGCTACAAAGTCTGAAAGCCTACTCCAGCAACGTAGTACTCCCTCCCCTCATCATGGCTTTAAGGTCTAAAGGACCTATCACCTCCCCCAAAGAGGGCCACCAACTGGAGACTAAGTGTTCAAATACATGAATTTATGGGAGATTACTTCTCATTCAAACTATCACAGCGGCAAAGAAAAGAAAAAGCTGAGACACAAACAAGGGGAATGGAGCACCCTGCCCTGTGAAAGGAGAGCATGGCCATACTGATGGAAGACCCTTGAGACGCAGCCGGCAGAGCACACAGGGTCTGACGCCTCGCTGCAATAACTGTGTTCGTGGGAGGTAGATTTACCTCCTCTTAACTGTGGGCACTGCTGAGAGCAAAGTCAAATCCTACAGTATTCAGCCGGAGTCACCCGCAGTCAAAATGCTGGCAACCAGATGTGTTTCTGAGTCTGAATTTGCTTTGTTTTGTAATATTTTCACGTAAGATGTCTTGGGCAAAGATCTAAATCTAAACTCAAAAACCATACGCATGCCTTCTACAAAGAGCTTGGGGCTGATTTTATACATATGTCCATTAGTTGTGAATGTGGAACAAGCTTTCGTGTGTCATCGTGTTACGCATGGAACAAGAGCAGTGGTCAAAAAGTGTCAGATGTTAGGGAAAGTCAGATTCTGAATCTCTCCATGGGCGGTGCCCACTTTGCATGGAGATGCTCCTCTTCCTCGTCAGTGGCTTGTGAGCTGATATGTGGCATAGAAACGTGGTTTTTAGGAATAACAGATACGGAGTAGGCAGCCTCAAGGCCACGGCAATGTTACTAAAGGGAACTCACAAGGGGACACAAGAATAAGAGTAAAAAGACATGAAATACCCCTGCTTTCCAAACCAGTGTCATTCCTGTAAGTGTCATGACACTTCTCTGTCCCTGTTGTCACCACCCCGTGACAAACTGCGCACCTCCTTCTGGGACATAAACTCCACACAACCCTTGTCTCCAACACTGTCCTTTGGGTCAAGACGTAAGAAACCCACTTCACAAGAAGAAGCGTATGAACCCTAATTTGTCCTTTGTACTATACTCACCAGTCTGCATGCATAGTGCAGCAAGCCCCGTGACCCAATAAGCAGGATGTGAGTTCTCTAAGAAGCAAACTCAGAGTGAAAGTTAAAATGCCCCCATTAAAACGTGGAATCCAAATGAAATCACATTGGTTTGTGAGTCCAGCAATGGCACATAAACCATTACGTGCCAGAAGATCAAATCTTGCCAGCTCAAGCCAAGGCCTAAAATAGAGAGAGGACCAAGTACAAAGACCATGTTCTAAAATCAAGGCGGACTGAGCCTGCCTCTTGGAATTCAATAGGACTGATTGCAGGAGGACAGCAAGTGTGGTCAGATGGTTGTGACCACCAAATGAAGAGCTTGAGGCTTTGCCGGAACCCCTTTAGACCTGCGTGGAGTTGGTGTTGATGAACATGGGGTAAGGTCAGCTGATTGAAAGTGTACCGTTAGCATCTCAAGTGCATTTCAAAGGTCAGTGTGTGAAGCACTTGGTCCCCCAGACTGATGCTTTCAGAAGGTAGGGACATCTTGAAAGGGGGCAGCCTAGTGAGAGGTTTTCAGGTCACTCAAGAATGTACCCAAAGCAATTGCAGAACCCAAACTCTTCCTCACTCCCTCCTTGAACTCACAGCTTCGAGATAATCAGTCTTGTCCACCTTGAACCCCTGAAATAAGATAACTGCTTTGCCAAAAAGTCAAAATCTATGGGCCAGTTACCTCCAGACGCACCCTCCAAAACTATGGGCCAAAACTGGCGGATTTTCTGACAGTCCCAGCTATTTCTCACAGTCACAGAAAACTAACTAACACAGAGCCAGACACGCGCAGGGTAGGTCAGTGGGTGCGCTCTGCAGTCAGTGATGGCCAATAAAGAGCTCCAAACTGGTGTCAGTCCAGGGAACCGGGCCAAGCAATGAAAATGCACAGGCCTGGAGCTGGAGTCTGCTTCCAAGCCTGCTTGACCACCAAAGAACTGTGTGGCCTTACTTAACTGTTGTCGTCAGTCGCAGAGCTGCAAAGAACAAGGCCGGCAGGGTGGGGGAAGTCGTGGCTGGGGAGACAGGCCAGCAGTTAAGAATGCACTACTCTCATAGAAGGGGGACTAGAGGACGATTCCCAGCACCTACATTGGATAGTGCATAAACACTTATAATTCCAGTCCCAGGGAATCTAATATCCTCTTCTGGTCCCTGTGGACATCCAGACACACATGGCAGACACGTACGCTGAAACACTCACACAAACATACACAGAAATAAAAATGAAATAAAATTTTTTAATTAGGCTAGTATCAAGGCCTTAGTTATTGATCTATTGCCTTCGAGACACAAAGTTCCCGGGAGCGCGCTCTGGACAAACTCAGTCGCCTGCTCTCTGTTTTCAAGGAGAGCCTTTTCTTTCTGGTGGACACCCGTCACACTCTGAAAGGAAATTAGCCAAAGAGGATATGCTCTAATGCTCACAAGGTCACCAAGGGGCTAAATCCTCTCAAGTGTCCCGAATGCCAGGTGTGGGCACAACAGACTATTTTTGGATCCCACTCACCAAATACCCTGGCAGCTCTGCTCTCCCAGGTTCAAGGACTTGGCAGGAAGCAACCCACAGGTGGCGAATCTTTAAAACTCTCTGAAAGGCAGGTCAAAGAGTGACAGGTTCTCCTAGGATAGACTTGTCATAGTGGTTTAAGGCCAGATTCTAGAATCCACGACTAAAGCATGTTAGGTCTGGGCATCCATTACCCTTCTTCTAGAGCAGCTAGCCACTCGTTCTTTTTAAATTGGATTTACAGACCTCAAATTTAGATTAAAGGCACTCTGATAATGGGCCTCAAAATATACGGCATGCGTGCTGTAAAGATTGCATTCATTTAGCTTTACCCTAAAATTCCAAAGAATCAGAATTGCTTAAACCCATATGCTAAATGCAATATTCAGCTATAATAGTGAAACGTTGGGAAGACTCTAACCCAAGGGGGCTACATTTCACACTTGGACAATTTTTTTTTAATGACTCACTGACAGTCAAGTGGAAAGATCAGACCTTTCTACTCTGCAGTTGTACACAATGACCCAGCAACTTGTACAATCCAATTCAAACATCTGTCTTTTCTTGAGAGACCCATCCAGCGGTGTAAAACAAAGCCTGAGGTCCCTTGCAGCTCTAGCTGTCCTTGCTGAATGCAAGCCCTGCCTGTGGATGGAGAAAGGGGCCGCATTCCTGTCACCTGGATCTGGCTGCCTTCTATTGCCTACCCAGAATGATTTTCTGAATACACCCAAAGAGAAGGCTCTCTCCATCACCGGGATTCTCTGCCTCTCCGAATCCTGCCTCTCAGAGCCCTTCCACGAACCCCACTTTTCTTTGCTCTGGCTATTGCTGAGGCTGTGAAAACTCGTGTATTCTTTTCAATAAGAATCTGTCACCATTCTCTGCTTTAAACATATGTCCCTTTTGGCAACTCTGGCCAGCAGCTGTAATAATTCCCGCTCTCGAATTTCAAAGAAAGTTTAAGGGTAAGAACCGGAAATGCAAGCGCGTCCACAACAATGCTTGAGGCCCTGCCTTGGCGGCTGAGTGGGTGCGGAAAGGTAAATCGGGATGAACAGCTGTTTTTAAGGAACTTCTGTCTCGATATTTTGGTGCGTGCTCCAGCTAAACTTGTCGAATTTTCTGATATTCGTCCTCATTTTTTTAAGACCTACTAATGTGTACTCTTGAGAATGCAAACATCATGAAAAGAATGGTTATATTCACGTGTTAAGACAGGTTGTGTTTTTCATTGCAAACATGGGAAAGATAGTCCTGGCGGGGTCATCGAGAGTTAAATGATGATAAAACAGAGTTAAATGATGATAAAACAGCCAAGCATAACCTAGGCAAAGTTGGGTTTAGGTTAAGAAAATAGGGCTAATTTTTCGAATGTTAACACTGTTGACAAGAACCTGGATTCAGCCTGTGGGAGGTTGTGTTTCTAAATATAATGTAAATTAATCCCCTGGTCCTCAGATATCATGATGTCCCACTGTCCTCGCAACTCAAGATACAAGAAAACCCTTAGGGACATCTCAGTGGAAACAGGATACTGACTTTTGGACCTACGTCAGCTACACAGAAATATTTATTTCTGTAACCATCCCAGATATATGCAATAAAACACAGCCTCATGTAAAGCAAGATAGCATAGCCAACATCTTAAAAATAATGAAAATCACATTTTAATGTACTTTACACTCAGAAGACTTTAACCTTTAAAAGGAAACCGGCTTCCTTATTACATTATTTTGAATTTCAATTATTAATTTTTACTTAAATTATTTCAAATTTTAACTCCACTGAATTTTTTTAGAGAAATAATTAGGTTTTGAGAAATTTATAGCATTATATATATATAATTTATAAACTATATAAAAATATATAAATTATATAAACTTCCAGGTATTTTTAAAAAAGAACATAGTATTTAAAGACCTTGAGACATCTTTTCCTGAAACTGACCATGTGTTTCCCACTGCTAGTTGACAGATCTACAACACAACCCCTACACCTAAGGTGTAGAAAGATTGTAAGAGCCAGAGGAACGGAGTGGCTGTTGGGAAATGATGTCTTCTACACATGAAATGGAAGCTTCAGAAACAACATCCAGACAAGGCCTGTACAGTGACAGCACCAGTTGACATGCCAACACTAACGACGGACTCTCACAAGGTCTCACGCTAGATGAGGAGCTACAGGCCATTAATGGATGCTTAGGAAAGGAGAATCAGTATTCTCCTGGGACATACACCCTAAAAAGTTAGCCAACCCCAAGAAGTTATAACTAAAAAATATATACATACAGGAAACATTAAATGGACTGAGCAGGCTTTATTTATATGAACATTTACATGTTTATGCATGTGTGCATATATGGTTTTATATATTTTATATATAAAGTGATAAAGAGATCATGAGTTTGAGATGGAGTGAGGAGACAGAAGTAGGAGTGGAAGAAGAGGTGAGAGTTATGTAAATAAAGTACTCATGTATAAAATTCTCAAAAAACCTAAATTAAAGTTAAAAGAGAAGGTAAGGGAACTAAAATCTTCATAATGAAATTCATTATTAAGTATAATTAATACATGCTAATAAAAACATTAGTAAGCAAATAAATGGCTAAACTCTACCAAAATATGGCTAAAATAGTTTGGACTCAAAGGCACTACTAGCCTTAGAACTTGGTAAGTTTAAATTATTCTTAAAATAAAAGAAACAAAAATGTCCAAGCCCTCACTTTTTCTTTCTGCCCAGTGTCTCTAAGAGCTGTCATATGAGACCATAAATCACTGCCTGTCTGGTGTGCACCACAGAACCTGGGGGTCAGAAGGTGGAGGCCCAGCTTTGGACAATTAGGTCAAAAAGTGCAAGCCACAGAAATGAGTGAAAGCCTGCAGTGCCGGAATAGCGCCAGAGAGAAGACCTTCAATGGCATAAGGACCTCTTAAATCCTGATTCCTCAATCAACAACATTGTCTGCTTTTGAGTCAGGGAGAAGATCCACTGGGCAGCAGGGGAAGAGAGATCTGGTTCGGCAAGGTTGAATGAAAAGGTAACCTCTTCTGCCCTCTGTCAAGGAAACGCAACTCCAGCCAGGAACAGGTAAAAGAGAAAGAATGTTTGGCTTGAGGAAAAGACCAGCTCCGGGTTCTTGGAGGATGTCCCAAATAAAAGATAGGATCAACCACATGCTCTTTCTGAGACAGTAGATTTCACAAATACCTGTATTCAAAAGACACCCCCTCCTTGCTGCAATCAGAAATCAGACTTGCCTTCTCTGCTTCACAAGAAGGCACAGCCTGCTGCAGAGGAAGAATTTTCCATCTGGGCATTGAACTCCTTCTGGCTTTTAAGGGCCCCTCCACTCAAGGCCAAAATGATTTTATAATTTTAAGTGTTGGCTTTCAAAAGCCAAGGTAGTTTTCATTATTTTAATTGTTCTCTGGGTTCATATTTGCTTTGAATTCTGCTTCCTTCATTCCCACCCTTCCTTTTTGCTGTGTTAGAACTCTACACAGTTCCCTTCTTCATCGCCATTACCTTCCTGTTCATCACAAGAAGGAAGTATTCTCCCTAAAATACATGTCCACACCAACCTAGAACTGCGTTCCATCACTGTACTCCCATGGCTGCGGAACAACCGGAAAGAAAGTCAGAATCTGACTCAGAGGAAGGAAAGTGGATGTTAGGGAAACAGTGACAGCTGTTTGTGACCTCAGAGTGATGTGGCTATGGACTGGTTTAGGACTTCAAACCCAGCAGGATAAAGTTGCATACTTCCTTCAAATTATTAGGATGCTAATGGCTGAAGTGCGTAGCTGGCACAGAGTCCTTAGGGATGCACAGTACCATGCCGGAGCCTTCACCTTCACTGCATAATTTAACTGCATAGAAATTGCTGTCTATTCCCTTTCCATAAATGAGGAAACCGAGGCGCAACTGAGTTAAGTAAGTTGTCATGGGTGCAAGGTCGCTGTAGTCAGCTTTGAGCTTACGTTCTCCAGAAAAAGAGAAGGGAGAGACTGTGTAAATCAAGCTAGTCCTGAATTCCCCAGTAACAGTGCATTAGAGGGCATTATCATGCCCATCTGCATTTGACTCTAAGTTTCTGGTTTAGGACTATAAACAAAATGGTATTTCAAATAGAAGCTATATTTTTAAGTGTATGAGAACATTATAGTGAGTATGGTATTATATGAAAAGGTAGAGGTGAAAACCCTGCTTCTAAGCACCATATGTGTGAGAATATTTACAAGTTTGGTCCAGAAGAAGGGCCTCAAAGAGCCAAACCATACAATATTTCCTGGCGTCACTAACAATCCCTTTTTAGAAAATACCTGCGATTTGCTACTTAGAGAAACTGAATTTCTAATATAGGATTTTTTTTAAGTTGTTAGTTGTTTCTTAACAAATCTACTGAGGTTCCCATCACATATCACATGCCAGGGCACTGAACACTGCGTTCACACAGCAAAATTACACACAGTGGGAATGGTTGCGTGAGCAATGAGTTAACAAGCATGTGAGCAAAATCACGTAAAACTGATTGATGGGATCAGAATCCCACTGATGGCATGATCTTTGCTGCAGACATTCCATGCTGAAAGCCACTCTCAGCGAGCGGGGCTTCACTGCTGACACGTCGAATTTTGTTTTTTTAGCATTTCCTTCATGCCAACTACTATGCTTGGCATTTCACATAGTTCTGCTGCTATAGCTCACAAAACAAACAAACAACATATTATGAGACAGTCAAGGAGGGTAGTGTAGAAGACAAATTTTAAGTTAGAATTCATGATTTTGCTCACACGCTTGCTGAGGCCAGCCTGGAGTATACTGCAAATATCAGACCAGATAGGGCCAAGAAGCAAGATCCTATCAAACTGAAAAATCTTAGTTGGGATCTCCAGAGATAGATATGAGGTCCCAGAGACAGAAAGAGAAGGGAGAGGGTGTTAAAGAAGGGAGGATCACCAGAGATCCCATAAGATGACATACAGAAACCAGTCCATACCCTGATTGGCTTCTAGAGAGTCAGAGAGACAAAGACAAAGCGTCACAGTGACTGATGGATGCCATAGGCATAGTAAGGTCAATAACCAAAATGGGATGCTCGGTCCTGACTCTGGATGTATAGATTGGCAACAACCCCAGCCCCTAAGAGTGATAGAACAAGCAAGTCACTGGTAAACAATAGGTACATAAGAACCAGAGAACAGAAAATATATAATCTTGAAACTAAATCTAAAAGTCTGTCTGTCTTAATTAATTACTTTTCTATTGCTGTGGAGAGACATCATGACCAAGGAAACTTATAGACTAAAGAGTTTATTAGGGTTTACAATTTCAGAGGGTTACCATGGTCACCATAGCAAGGTCAGGCAAGCAGACAATAGCAGAGAGCTTACATCCTGATCCTCAGGCAGAGAGAAATGAGTCTGGGGCTGTTGTGGGCCCACCCCCAGCGACAGACTTCCTCTAACAAGGCCACACCTCTTAATGCATCCCCAACTGTTCAACCAACTGGGACCAAGAACCCAAGTATATGAGCCTATGGGGTCATTTCTCACTCAAACCACCACACTGTGATACTGCCAAATCTATATTTAGTGGTCATTCGATAGCCAGGCACACAATTCCTAAAATGATTTGAATCTCCATGGTGATTGTGTGCACACACCCCCTTTTTTTTAACTAATGAGTTGATTAATATGGTGGCACTTACATAGCTTCAGGACGGAGACCGTGCATCAAAAAGAACAAAAGAGGTAAAGAGGTTTTCAAGTGTGTTATGGTTGGAATTTCTGCTTTTTAAAACGTAGATCAAACCATAAAAACCTTTTATCAGACTGAAGAAAGCTTCTTGGTAAATAATATTTGTTTTCTTCTTCTGTTTTCTCTCATTTTTGTTTTTCATTTTTATTGGACAATGTGTTAAGAGAATTTTCCAAATAAATAGAAAGCAGGAAGAAAGAAATAGAGAAGGGAGGAGAAAGGGAAAACCTTGCATTGAAGGACTCTGGGTCCCACCTCACATTTAAATTTAAATTCATAGCAACATTGGTCACTGTGACAGAATTGATTTAATGCAAAAATTCTACCTGAAATGTAAAATATATACCCTGAAATAAACAAATGGAATCAGTTCTGTGGAGCGTATATGCACCAAGCATACTTTTTAAATTAATTATAAAATCCACTTTTGTGAAAATGTATTTCCATATATTTATCATTTCTAAATGTTACCCTTGTCCTCATTTTATGTGCCTTGCAAATAATATCTAATTTAAAATATTGGCTGAATTCAATAAGTAGTGCAAAGTTTGGGTTAAATTTTTTATTATGGTTTTGTAATATAAGCTTGAGAACTGTATACTTTTTGCCTCTGGAAATTCTTTCTGTACAGTGGGAAATAAATCACTGTTTTCCTTCATATAAAACTGATAATCTGTCAAGCCACTAAAGTTTCATACCCCCGAAGGTGTTTCTCTTAGTTACTTCAACGATCTGCAAAAGAATGTAGGCAAAGGGGGATTGTGATCAATATTCTTAACGAATCTGCGACTGACGTTTAAGAATTTTCTAAGACTTGTGAGCATAGGTGACGAGACCAGATAGAATTTCACGACGACACTAAGATGTTGATGGCTTTTTCAGCAGTTTTCACGTTTGTACTGCCTGGGCAAAAGTGACAGTGGGGAAATGTGTGGGCGCTGACACCCAAACCAAAGTCCTTATCTGGTCATATAATGAAAATAATTATGAGACTGAGAAGGAGGGTAGGTGTCAAAGGATCTTCTAAAGGGGTAAAATATTAACTCTGTTAAATTTCAAACTTTACACATACGACTTAACATTGCAAGCAAAGAAATGGGAAGTCCACGTGAAACACTTCTGTGCACAGCGCAGGTCTAGCGATGAGGTGTGAGCCTTTGTAGGCATCCTGGTCCTCATGCAGCTGTAGCTGTGCCTTAGAGACAAACTGAGCATCGCCAAGTGTGATTCCTCAGACGTGAGCATCTCTTTAAGAGATAACAGAGCAGATCCACTACTAACACTGAACGTGGGCACTCAACAAAAGAGCAGATTTTCAAAATACATCTCTACAGCTTTCAGCCCTGATGGAACCTGTGGTACTGTACAGGAAGGTGATGTCTTTATTTCCTATGGTGAGATGTGTCAACATTTGGGGAGGGTGGGTAACTCAGTGGACCAGGTGTTCTCAAGTAATAGAGTAAGGTGTCACGAAGAGGCCTGTGTAATGCCCATTGGTATGGAAGGCAGGCAAGGTCAGGTGTAATGTATCTCCAGGGTAATGATGCACAAAAGACTGACAACTTCAGATTCAGATGGTAACCAATATGGGGTCTTTACAAAGCGATAGTATAGCATTCTAAAATATTACCTGTGGTTACCTTTAAATCTACTAAAACATCCTCTTAAACTATGTATCTGTACAAACTTTCACGTAAATAAAATACATCACAACATACCGAACTTAGGAGCAGACCCGACAAGCAAGCTACCATAAACTAAATGAGATATTAAAAAGATGTTAAAGGGTAACTAAATCATGTTTTGATTTTAGAAAAGATAAACTTTTGCAAAAATATTATTTAATGTGCAACTGATTTATTAATTTATGACAACATTAATTCACAATTAAATTTTTTACAACTTCTCAGCTTTAGTTTCAGGTGGTAAATTTTTAGGATATCTTATTTATTCTTTGACAACCTCATCCATATACACAATGTAACTTGATCATCCCTGTCCCCTTCTGCCCCTCCCACTCCATCTGGACATTTCCCAACATACCACCTTCCCACCGTCACACCCTATTCATTTTTGGTTTTGTCTTTTTCTGTAACCCACTGAGTCCAAATAACACTTCTGCTGCAGTGTTAACCAGGCTTGCTGGCTTGACCTTGTGTGGGTAACCAGAGCTGTCGTGAGTTCGTGTGCCCAGAAGGTTGCAGCATTGTGGCTCTCCTCCCAGGCCTCCGGCTCTAACATTCTTCCCACCCCTTCTTCCTTGCGACTAGAGACTGATACAAATGTCCCACTTAAGGCTGATCATTAATGGTCTCTCATTCTTGGCATTTTGACCAGTTATGAGGGTGTGCATTAACTGAAGATGGAAGCCTCATCTTGCAAGGTTGAGGGCAGCACAAACCTATGAGTCTAAACACAAATATGTGGAAGGCTGTTGGGCAACATATCCATTTAGCAAAGCAGTCTTAATAGGTTTTCCAAAGAATCTCTGGCCTCCCCAGCCAGAGGCTTTGTCGTCAGGGTTGATAGTACTTACTTTCTGTGAAGTAGACCTTAAAGCCAATCAGGGAGCAATTAGTCACCGCCATAACCTTCATGGTGCAATCACACCAATGGTTACATGGTACCATAACAGCCAGGCTTTACTATTGAGTAATACCATTGCTAACTCTTCTCCCCCAAGGTCTGAATAGAACCTTCTGGAACGACAAAAGCTAAGTTTTCAGGTTGGTTTTACTATGTCTTGGAAGCAAGGTGTGTTGTGTCTTCAACACTAGAGCACTACTATCTAGTTATGATAGACAACTTTGATGTTTTAAAAAGAAATGCCCCCCCAAAGGGAGTGGCAGTCTTAAGAGGT